TGCAAACAAAGTTAGAACAACTTTCCCAAGACCATTTGTAAATCCAGGGAATTTTATATTTACTGAAGAAAATTAACAGACTCGAAAAATGAGTTTTGTCATAATAACTAAGTTTATAAATAGAGGCAAAATAGGTGACCTGATCTTGTAGGTCCAGAGGTAGAATTTCAGGTATGGGGCCATGAAGAAGCCACCACTGTGCAAACCAGGCAGGAATCTGGCTTTTGAAATTCTTATCGAATTGAATGAACCAGGAATGAGTTAATGACTAATCCTGATAGAGGAGAAGTTTATTCCATGATTCAATGTAATCATAGTAATTAAACTTCTTTTCATATCCCTCGAGATCTTTGAGCAAAAAAGGATAAGATCCCCATTCTTTGAGAGAGATGAATTTTAGAATATATAATGAATGATATATTACTTTACTTGGGTCATTTCTATCAAATATGGGTTTGATATGAATAGACTGGGTAAAGAATAATATATCTTGATAAAAAGTAAATGTTTTTTCTGGGTCAGATGGGATAAAGTTTCATCCTGGTTCCAAATAAATATTTACTATATCTTTTGGGTTGCTTAGGTGAGCATGAATGAGTTCAATGGCAAACACTGTAATGGGTTCACCTTTTTTAGTATAGTCAATTTTTGGGCCTGTGTGGACTATGAAAGTTGGCTTGATTTTAGAAATTGGGGTATAGAACAACTAGTTGACTTGAGACAATTAATTGTGGGCTTGAAGAACTAATTGGTTCTTTTTGGGCCGTTTGAAGAAAAGTGGATGGGGCTACCAAGGTAGACTGGGTCACTGGTCTTACTGGGTTAGGTTTACCAAGAGGTTGGTAATGATTAGCAATTTGGATTGGGTTTGATAAGACTACTGGGCTTGGCAAGGGTAATTGGGTTTTTGTTTTTCCAGTATTTCTCCCGGCTTTGGAAGAGGTACTAGCCTTACTATTTTTCTTGTCCGTCATGATGTTCCTGCAAAAATTCATGGGTTAGGAAATCAGGGATGCAATTATTACTGCCTTCAATATATTCGAGATCAAAATCAAAAATACTTAAGATAGACTGCCATCTGGCAAAAATCTGCTTACCAGCAATGTTTTGTACATCATTTTTCAAAACATATGTTACAGATTTACAATCAACTCTGACTAAGAATTTTTGATTTAATATATCATCCTGGAATTTAGAGATACACATGACAATAGATAAAATTTCTTTTTTAATAGTACTATAATTCCTTTGTGCATTATTCTAGATACCAGAGTGAAAACGAACAATTTATTCTGGAGAGTCTGGAGTGAGCTTTTGAAGGAGGATACCACCGTAGTCAATGTTGGAGGCATCAGTTTGGATGATTTTAAAAGAATCAACAGAAGGAATACCAAGGCAAGGCAAAATTTTGATGAACTTCTTGACTTGTTGAACAATAGATGTATGAACAGAGGTCCAAGGAGGAGGATTTCCTTTGAGTCTATCATACAGAGGTTTAACGATTTTTCTAAGATCCTGATAAAAGTCAGAAACATAATTTAGGGAACCTAAGAACCTTTGTAACTGGATTTTATCCAAAATCTCATCAGGGAACTTATCTGCAAATTAGATAGAACGACTGATGATAATAATGGTTGAGTACTAGATGTTGTAACCAAGGAACCTTACTGAGATTTGGAACAACTTAATTTTACTAGCTGAGATGACTAGACCATTGTGCCTAACTATCTCAAGAAAAGCATGGAGATGTTTCCAATGTTCTTCTATGGACCTGGAGAAGATGAGTATATCATCTATATAGACAATAGAAAAATGACTAATACCATTGAAAATTTCATTCATGATATTTTGGAATTCACTAGGTGCATTTTTTAATCCAAAGGGCATTACATTCCATTCATAATGACCAAAAGGAGTTGTAAATGCAGTCTTATATCTATTTTCTGGAGATATAAGGATTTGCCAGTAACCACTTTTCAAATCAAATTTAGAAAAGATTACTAAATTACTAAGTCTTTTAATTAAATCCTGTTTATTTGGAATTGGGTACCTGATCCATTCCAAAACAGTATTTAATGGTTTGTAATTGATTACTAATCTTGGTACGCCTCTTTCTAATTCTACATTTTTGATGACATAAAAAGCTGGACATGACCAAGGAGATTTGGATTTCCGAATGATACCATTATGAAGTAATTGGGTAATCTCTTTTTTGCAGGTTTCCATTACTTCATGGTTCATTTGGATTGGTCTGGATTTAGTAGGAATATTTGTCTCTCTAAATCCTGTTATGTATGGAAGTTTGACCATATGTTTCTTCCTATGCTAAAAAGTTGTAGGAAGGTTAGAACATACTTCTTCTTTCAATTTTAACCTAAATTGCTCAATTTTTTCAATTAAGATTGGATTTGTTAATTGTTCTTGAATTCTCTTATGGTTAATTTCATCTTTGAGAAATTTTACCTGTTGAGTTTTTTGATTGATTACATTAAGATGCTGAGAGACTGAGTGGTCTCTTAGTTGTCTTAATGTCTTAGTTTCTGGTTTACTAATAAAATTGAAAGTTACTGATTGACCAAATGGTTTAGTGGTCACTCNCGGTATTATTTCTTCTTGAATACAGTTAACATCTGCACCTGTATCAATAAGGGCAGCAGTTTCAAGTTTAAAATCATTAATGATGATTTGTACTTGAGAATACCATTTCTGAAAATTAATCTTGTTAACCAGATTAATTCTGTAACTATCATTAGTTTGTGAACACCCATCGTGAGATGACAGCTTCGTTACACCTGAATTTTCCACTAAAAAGGTGGAGGTTACAGGTATCCGCTGTAATTGTGTTCCATCCTGAGATTCTGTATTAGATTGATCATTAACTAATGGCTGTTTTTCAGGATTAAAATCCTTTGTAGCGCCAAAGCTATCTGTGTGTAAAAAACTTAAAGCTTCTGCAAATTTTTTGTCTTGAGCTTTTAGTTCTTTAATTTCAGATTTAATTTTATTAACTTCAGCTTGAAGATCTTGTAAAGTGAGTT